AGGTGTATTTATTAGTAAATAAATATTATTTTATATATTAAATTTAAAATTTAACTCTTAATCATATCTAAATAAAAAATTTTAAATTTTAATATTAATATTTTTTTGTATATACAAACTAACATAAGAGTGTGCCCTTAAAATCATATGAAAATGGATTAATCATTACACGAAAAACCTGAGTCGAGGACACCTTGGTTGTGCGCCCACCGCTCCTAATTAATTAAATCACTTTGTATTACCTGTAAGCTGTAACTCGCTACTCTCATTAATGAAGGCTACCATTTTAAACACTTGAACACTTGCTTTAAAATGTTGGAAGCATGTACGTACAATCAAATAGAGACAAACAATGCGAGTGGAATGAGATTGTTTTCCCACTTCTAACTCATGAATAGCTTCATTAAAATGTAGAATGTATATATGCAACTTAAAAGAGGATTGATTGATGGGAAAAATTACATACCGGAAACGAATTTTTATTACCTAAGAAATATTATTATATTAGTGAGATATTTGTGAAAACTAATTATCGTACAAGTTTGAATATCATTATAAAACATTATGGGTTTTAAATTACAAGTAATCATTATTTTCACAAGATTTTTTGAGATATAAGGTGAAAATTTCATTCAATTCAAAGCTTTTCAATACGTGGGATGGTCAAATAAAAAAGATTAAATGTCAATTTTACTCTCTCAATTTTTTACTTTTGCACAATTTTAGCCCCTTTAATTTTTTTATGTATTTTTTTTATCTCTTAACTACGAAAAATGTGCTTTTTATTCTTTCTATCAATTAGTCTATCAAATATATCCATATATGCTCATTTTAGTCCTTGAACTTTTTAGTTTAGAGATAAAAATTATGTAAAATTCTAAAATTAAAGAATTAAAAATGTATATATATAGATAAACTTAATAAACTAACTAACAGAAGGACTAAAAAAGTACATTTTCTATAATTGGACAAAAAGTGAATAAAAAAGTTGAGAAATCAAAATTATGTAAAACTCTAAAGTTGAAGGATCAAAATTATCTCCAATTTCATTTTTTTTTTTAATTAGTTCTCTTTAGAGTATATATAAACACAATGAAAATATCTAAGTTTTCTTGTGAATACATGACCTTCCTAGTAAAAATGCATTCATTCTTTGCTAGATTTATTTATTTTTGGGTGCTTGAAGATCAAGTACATATATAGAAGAACATATCTCCAAGTCATGATATATATTTGAATCACGCATGTCTTTCTTGCTGAAAATATCCATCAACCTCACTACTCTCATCAGGTTGCAATTCAGCAGATTTGCTCCTCCTTATTAATTTGCTTTGGCGTACCCAATCTGGTTATTATCGATGTCTAATTTCTTCAATTCCTCCTTTAAATCTGCAGGTAATAATTCTTTCTGTTGTGTTCTCTTTAGGGTATAAAAGGAAATACAAAATATCCAATTAAACTTGTAAATACAAATCATTAACATATCAATCTCTGGTTACAATTCACTTTTTCACCTTAAATGAAATCATCAGAATAAAATAAAGAAAAAAGCAAACGAAAATAATTAATAAATTATTTATATATGTTACTCTTTTTATTCACTTTCAATAGTTTTAATTTACTTTTTGGTCATTTTAAATATAAATTTTTATCTAAAAATAAAAATTTAACAATTTATATTAACAACAATTAAATTTTTTTTCTTATATGTAGTTCTTAATAAGTATTTTTATTTAATTAAAATTTTTAATTATTTTTTATATAATATATTAAATTTATATCTAAAATTTATATTTAAAAAATCAAAAAATAATCTAAAACTACTAAAAATGATCTAAAGAGTAGTTAGTTACGTTAAAAAAGGCCATTATCCAATGGATGATAGATGTTTAAATTAAATATTTTCATTGTTTGCATTGGCAGAGACATTATTCAAATATGTTTATTTTTTTATCAGTTATTCAAAGACATTTGCATTTTTAGTGATAATAAGAAAAAAAAAATAAACACACATAAAATATTATATATTAATTTTTCATCTAAAAAAATAAAATGTAGA